CCCCAAAACCCCAAAACCCCAAAACCCCAAAACCCCGATAGAAGAAATATTTATTGAATCAAATTACAGAAAGTTAAAATGAGGTGATTACTTTATTTGCACTGAGCAATAGTGCTACTAATTCTTTTATTACTCCCCCTAGCCCAAGCAACCAAAGGGCTGGACAATGACTGTGTTAGTGATGATGATTGCTATAATACCTATGAACATTGAAGCATTAGTGAAAAAGAATGCATTCATAAAGATGTGTTTCCACAAGAAATTATGGAATTTTTCGGGTCAATAGTCCTTGGCCTCATGATTGCACTTTCAAATGCAGGTGGCATTGGAGGTGGAGGCATCATTGTACCTATAGCTATAATATTTTTCAGATTCAGAACAAAACAAGCTGTAGCAATCTCTAACTTTTGCATTTTCACCGCTTCGGTTGTCAGATACGCGTTAAACTTTAACAAAAAGCATCCAAAGAAAGACGCTAAAATCATCGATTATAGCATTACAATGATAATGCTTCCGATGGTTTTGTTGGGCTCTCTTTTTGGTGTCCAAATTAATATGATAATCCCAGAATCAATCCTTTTAGGAGCCCTCACCATAATCCTAATTTACTTATCTATTACTTCACTAAGAACTTCATTAAAAATTAGAAAGAAAGAAAATTTGGAGAAAGTGAAGGATGATATTCCTGAAGAGCAAAGGAGCGAAAGTCGTACTCAGCATCCTAACAACGAACTAGAGGAAGATAAGAAGAGCGAAGAAGAGAAGAAGAATATCCAGTCTGAAGATTTACTGAATAATGATGGCGATGTCTGCTCTATCTATGAAAATCCCATCCCTCCTATTCCTAACTCAGTAAAAGAGACGTCCCATGAATCCAGCAAGGAGAAAGAGGGCGTACCTAAAGTGAAGAAAGGAACCCTTTTAAAGAGTGATAACAGCTCTGAGGAAGAGAAGGAAATTGTAAGCGATGAAGATTCCAAAGATAGTAAAGAGAAAGAGGAATCAGACGTCCATCCTGAATTAGCGAAGATAATCTGGAAAGAGCAAAGCCATATTAAGCCATCCACCCTGATTCTATTCCCCTTCTTATTTATTACTCTGATTGTGCTGATCCTTATTAGAGGAACCTCTAGTGTCGACTCTATTGTTGGTATTGAGTCTTGCTCAGCTGGAAGCTTCGTAGTCCTAGCCATATTAATCCTGTTCTACGTCGTAATGACTGGGTTTAATACTATTCTTGTGAAAAACGAATATAGAATAAAAGTTGAGCAAGGCTATAATTTTGTTGAAGGGGACCTCAAATGGGAAACTAAGCTTCTCGTCCAGTTTATTTTATGAGCATTTGGGGCAGGCTTTATTGCCGGAACTGTAGGACTTGGAGGAGGAGTAATATTCAATCCTTTATTACTAAGCTTTAAAGTTCCTCCTCAAGTCGCCTCTGCGACAGGAATGTTCATGATTACCTTCGGATCACTTTCGAACGTTTTCTTATTCACCATGGCAGACTATTTCCACTTTGGCTTTGGATTTTGGCTAGGGGCTTATACAGCTTTAGGTACGACGGTTGGAATAATCTCAGTCAATAAATTAATCAAAAAGACAGGGAGGACAAGTTACATTGCGTTTATTCTGACTCTAGTAATCATTCTAAGTGCTATCATTATCCCTATATACGGAATACTACAATTAATCCAAGATTCTAATGATGGAAAGAATCTTCTTGAATTTGGAAGTTTCTGAGACTAACCCAATTTTAATATTAAGTAATCACATTTATCCTCTTCAACTTTGGACTACAAACCTGGGGTTTTGGGGTTTTGGGGTTTTGGGGTTTTGGGG